GTGCTTTCAAGGTTCTATGGCCGCAGATATTGACCAATGCCCCAAGGTGGAATATGAAGCACCTTGCTTGTTCCAGTTGACGGTGTAGCGAGCGGGTAGGCGCACTTTGATTGCAGCGATTGCCGAACGCTTCGGCGACTTGAAGCGCCGAGCTGGGCAGCTGCAGCCGAGCCCATGTCGGGTCGCGCTCAGGCCAAAATCAGCTCCATTTGGCCAGATGGTCCATGCTCCTCTCACTTGGCACCGAGAGCATGGCGCTGGGCTCGGGCTGGTTCGTGGCGTCAAAAGATGACGTCCCCAGTGGACCACCGTTTGACGGCAATTTGAGCCGGTCACTTTTTCGGCCTCTTACCCCGCGTTGTCCCCGGGCTTGACCGTGCACTCAGGGTCAGCAACCCTGGCATCGGTGGAGTATATACAGCCCCCAGCTGCTTGCTACCGTAGAGATTCTTCGCACACCACCGCCATGTCGTTCGCCGCCTTTGCCAAGTCGCTTCCTCCGTCCCTGAGCCTCGTGGGGCGCACCGCGCTCGTCACCGGCTCCTCCTCGGGCATCGGCAGACAGACTGCCCTCCACCTCGCACGCGCCGGAGCCAACGTCCTCTGCACCGACCTCGTAAGTTTCTCCCACCCTCCCTCACCAAAGCAGAGTGCCACTTCTAACGTCCTGATGCTATGCCGGTGGTGATCAGCGCCCCGAGCCACTTGGCTCCGAGGACACGGCCAAGTCGTCCCGCACCGTGCCCACGCACGAGCGTGAGTTCAAACTTCCGTGCACGATCCGGCTTCTTGGCTCCGTCGCAACGGTACTGACCTGCTTGCGTTTGCAGTGATCCAAACTCTCGGTGGTAGGGCCGAGTTCCAGCAGCTCAACGTCACCTCCGAGTCCGAATTCGAGGCCGCCATTGCCAAGAGCGTCAGCTTCGGCGGCGGAAGACTCGACATGTAGGTGATGTCCCCCTCCAAGCCTGCGTGGACCGTGCTGACACTTTTGCCCTTCGCCTACAACCTCAGCCTCGTCAACAATGCTGGGTAAGCTCGCTCGCCTCCCACCTCACGTACTCCGGACACATTCGCTGAAGCTCAGGCCGTCTCATCTTGACATGCTCATCGCGTTGAAATCAGTATCACAAAGTTCTCGTAAGTCACAAGCTCCACACTTAAGACAACACAGGTCGTCCGTCCCAAGAGTACTGACGACCTCGGCATGTTTGCTAATTTTCAGCGGTGGGATTGAGAACGAGCCCATCGAGACGCTTGACAAGATGATGGAGATCAACATCAAAGGAGTCTGGCTCGGCACCAAGCACGCTGTACGTCCTCGCCTTCCCTTCCCTTCCACCCTCATGGACCAGCTAGCTAATGTTGGCCGTGTGCACTCTGTAGATCCGGCAAATGATGAAGCAGGATCCGATTGCCTTTCCCGCCGACCTTGAGGAGGACCTAGACGACTTTTCCGATGTACCTCCCAGCGTTCCACTCCGTCCGCCGTACTTTCAACAGGCTGGATCGCCCATTGCCACGGTAGGTCGACGCGAGGGTGATGTCGGCGCACGTGGATCGCGCGGGACGATCATTCAGATCGCCTCGGTGCACGGTCTGATCGGCGGCCCGTCCGAGCCGGCATACTGCGCCTCCAAGGGCGCCGTGGTCAACCTGACGCGTCAGGTGGCGACCGACTATGCACCGCATCGCATCAACGTCAATGCCATCGCCCCCGGCTACCTGGCTGGCACCGCAATGGTCGCCGATATCAGCCCCGAACTCGCCAAAATGCGCCCGACCTATTGGCCACACCAGGGAACTGCCAGAGATGTAGCCAATGGCGTCTTGTAAGTCCCGACTCCCCTCCCACGCGCCTCGTGTGCAAATAGAGGATCATTGTGCTGACCGCATACTTGGGCTTCAGGTTCTTCGCACGAGACGCACCGTGGTGTACGGGAAGCATCCTGCCCATCGATGGCGGTACCACCGCACGCTAATTGCACCACCACCATCCGAACGCAATGCAGCCGCTTGGATAGAGGATTGGGATTTCTAGGCGCATTTCGGAGGCCTCTACTTTCCTGTTCCCCAATTCGCCAGACCTGCCAGTCCAACTCCCACAGGCATATCGCCCGTGCCCTGTTGGCCCTGCTGGCCCTGTTGCTGACCCTGCTGCTGGCCCTGCTGCTGGCCTGCAAACGGCATGCCGTTGAAGCCTCCACCCATAAGCCCCATCATCTGCTGCATCTGTCCCAGATTCGCCATGTTGCCGCCGGCGCCAAAGTTGAGCATGCCATTGTTGGCGTTGCCGAACTGGTTCATGCCCATGCCCTGCATGGCCGCGAGGGCGGCGGCGGTATTCTGCGCATTGCTCGTGGCAGGAAAGCCGCCCATCTGACCGTTCATCATGGGCAGTCCAAAGCCCATGTTGTTGAAGCCCATCTGCTGCGCCTGCATGTTGGGGAACATGCCTGCGAGCGCGGCCTGCTGCAGCTGCTGCTGCGTGAGCTGCTGCTGCTGCATCTGCGGAGTCGTTTGCGCCTGCATCTGCCCTTGTTGCGGCTGCGACGGGATCGAGCGGTGCGCCGGCGTGGGCGTCGATTGCACAGACGGCGTCGCACTCCCCAGTATCGGCGTCCCTTGCATAGCCGCTGCCGCTGCTCCGTTGACTCCAGCGTCGGCAGCCCCGTAGGCTCCACCGGCCGAGCCAGCAGGCGTGCTGTTGGCATTCGCACCTTTCTTGTCCGCCTTGGCAGGCGTCTTCTTCTTGGTCGCGCTCGCGGGCGCAGGTGTGGTGGCAGCCGCTGACACCGCCGGCTTCTTCCCAGCAGCCTTCTTCGGCGAGCCCTTCTTGTCTTTTCCTGGACTCGATGGAGCCGCTGCATCGGTCCCGTTCGCAGCTGCGGTGGCTGCAGCGGCCTTGCCGCCTTTTGCGGGACTCTTGGTTGCAGCTGCCGCAGCGGCGGCGGCGGCCTCTTCCTTCTGCTTCTTCTTGCTCTTGGGCTTGGACCCCTTGGCAGCTGCGGCCTCCTTTTCTTTGCGTTCCTTTTCCTCGCGCTCCGCCTTTTCTTTTTCCTCCTTTTCTTTGCGCTCCTTCTCCTCGCGCTCCTTCTTGGTGAGCTTCTTCTTGGGCTTCTTGGTCGCTGCTGCTGCTGCCGCCGCTTCTTCCTCGGCCTTCTTCTTGGCGGTTTCTGCTGCCGCCGCTGCCTCGGCCTCCTCCTTCTCCCGCTGCGCCTTCTTCTTCTTTTTGGACGGAGGCTTCTTGGCCGCCGAGGCGTTGCCGGCATCGGCATCCTCCTTGTCGTTCTTGGTGTCCTTCTTGCCAGCGGCGCCGGGCGCACCATTGGCAGCACCGGTGGCTGCGCCTGGTGCCGGACCACCAGGAATGGGTCCCATTGCGGCGTTGCGCCCCATCCTCCACCGCTCGATGAAGCCCATGCGGCCGAAGGTGGGCACGAAGGCCGTTGCTGCGGCTGCGGACGCGGATGCACCCTGGGCATTGAGCATGGCAGATGGATCCATAGCTGCGGAACCGGATCGCCCGGCACCGGGCATCATGCCCGATGCAGCACCGGCGTGCAGTGCGCCCTTGTGTCCGTGCTGCATGAGGCGCATGATCTTCTCGCGCCGTTGGCGGTCCATCTCTTCGCGCTCCATCTCGATCGAGTTGGCGCCGCGCTTCTTGGACGAGCGGAACGGCGAATCCTGCGACGGACTGTATGCAGACGGCAAGGCGGTGGCGCTGAGCATGAGGTTGGCGATGCGCGTAGCCTGCGGGTCGGGAGTGAGGCAGAGGGGCGGTGCTGTGAGTGCTAGGATCTTGGCCTCGACTTCGAGCGCCTCCTGGTCGGTCCACATGCTACCCGCCATATCGTCGAGCATCTTGATGTCTGCCCACAGCGTTTCCGACGTCGGATGCAGTACGATACGATAGATCTCGACGCCGCCTGCTCCGCCGCCTCTGGGATCGCTGGAGCTCGTCCCGCCAAGCAGCTTGCGTGCACCGTATCGGCCACCCTCTTGCAGGTAAAATAGACTCGAGGCGAGACCGCCTTCGGCATCGAATCCGAGCGCGGAGCTGGACATCGGATCACGGGTATCTCGTGATCGGAACAGGTCTGCTGCGCTCATGCCCATCAGTTCGCGCGGGCCCAGAGGCGAGGCTGAAGCGGCCGCATGGCTGCGATGGTCGTGGACGTCGACGAGCAAGCATCCCTCGAAGAATTTGATGCCGGATTCCGTGAGCACATCGATGAGATCGGCAGGGACCTTCTGGTCGCGGATGAAGCCCAGAAACGCCTTGACGGGCGAGTCGAAGAGGAACATGCCATTCTGACGTTCGAAGCGGAAGTGGTTGTTGTGCAGATGCAGGATGAGCGACGGCTTGTCCTTGCGATGGCGCCGGAGGATCTGGCGAGTCGTCCGTGACGTATTGTACACGGATGCTGTTGTGGCCATGTTGGAAGCGCTAGGCCACCGTCCGCGCCTATCAGAAGAGTCGGATGCGGATCGAGACTGGTCGTTGTGACGGGACTAGAGTGCTAAATCCGCAAGTGAATTGCCTCCATGTACGACTTCCCGGCGTGAGGGTTTTCGAGCCGATATCGAGCAGTATGGGTGCCGCTGGGCGTGCGGGTGGGCTGCAGCACAAGCGTATACCGAGATGTGCAGTTGGGGTGTTGGGAAGGTCGTTGTAGGGGAGCTGGTGGAGCTAACGGCAACGGCCGCCTGCAGGAACGCCCACTCTGAGCCGGACGTGGCCGTCGAGACGCGTTTCCGAAAGCCGAGTTTGGGATTCGTGGATTATGAAATGCGTTGTCATCTGGCGCCCAGCCATGCCTCCACCTCGAGACCGCCCAACCCAACACCACACCTTGCCCTGTACCTCCATCGTACGTACAGCGACCAGGAGGAAGCCCGCTGACGAGCGCATTGATGCGTTAGACAGACTGCGCGCAGAGAGCAATGTCGGTGACCGTACCGGGCTCGCTTGGGTCCCTGCGTGGTCTGGCCGCACGATGCCAGCCCTCTGGCTCGGCGTCTGCTCTGCCCGCCCTGGCCTCCAACACTGCCCGTGCCACCAGTGCAGCATCCAAGGCAGTGCATCTGTCGAGCAGAGCCATCTCGACTGCAGACAAGTCGCAGGACCTCGAGCTCACACTTGCGTTGATCAAGCCGTCCGTGTGCTCGTACCAACCGGACGTATCCGCCATCCTCAAGGAGATCAAGCAGTCGGGTCTGAATGTACGTCCCTCTCGCCTTTTGCTCTTGCATCACTTGTCTTGAATACTGACGACCCGATTCGCCCTCTGACTACTATTTTGATAGGTGGCGCGCAGCAAGCGCATCTTCTGGACGTCGAGCGATGCACATGACTTTTACGCCGAGCATCGCGGGCGCTTCTACTACGACCGTCTCATCATCGGAATGATCAGCGGTCCCGCCATGGCGCTGGCGCTTGTTGGTCCCAATGCCATCAAGCGCTGGCGCGCCATGCTCGGCCCCACCAAGGCCTACCGATCCAAGTACGAGGACCCGCAGTGTCTGCGCTCGCGCTACGGTCTCGGCGACACGCGCAACGGCTTCCACGGTTCCGACTCGCCCGAATCCGCTGCGCGCGAACTCGGCCTCATCTTCGATGGCTGGGACACAAACTGGTGGCTACAACGAGAGCAGGGAAGGCTACCTACAGACCAGGACGGAAAACTCAATCCCCTCAGCTTCTAAACCCCCTTTTCCCGCACACACGACATGGCCCAAGGCATGATTGTACAATACCCAAGATTACATCGACGTGCAAAGAGACACCTGACACACTTGCAGCTCCACCAAGCCTAAAGTACAAAGAGAGTCGTCGTGTGATGAGCCGAGCGAGATTATGCGGAACGATAGGCTTTGGGATCCTTCATAATTCGCAGCGCCGAGAGCTTGCCCACGCGCAGCTCGTCCTCCTCGTAGCCCTCTTCGCCCTCGACGGGAAGGTCGTCCTCGCCGCCAAGATCGTCGTCCTCCATGCTGGGTCGCACGATCTTGCCAGCTGCCAAGCGGCCGAAGAGGCCGCCCTCCTTGGTCGGCGTAGCGCTCGTGCGGCCGCGCTTGGACCGCAGTGCCTGGATCTGATCCTCGGTGCCGGTGCTGATGGCCAGCCCTTCCTCGTTGGCAAGATGCAGCAGACAGATGAAGCAGAACGACGTCGAGATCTCCTCCATCTTGTCTTGCGGATACGCCTTCTGCAGACCGGACAGCACCGACTCGAACGTCTTGACGCTCTCCGCACCGGCAGGCTGTGCATCGACCGAGTCCATAGTCTCGTCGTCTTCCTCCGCGGCACGTGCAGCGACGGCGGCAGGATCGTCGGTGGACGGCAGGATGCCGAGCTCCTTCCAAATGTTCTCCTTGAGCTTCTTGACATCCACGCGCTTCGCCTTCTTGGCATAGTTGACGTACTCGGGCTTGACGCGGTTGAGCTGCTGCATCGACTGTGTCAGATCGCCGTCCTCGTCGCCGCCGACGGTCGCATTGGCCGGCGAGTCGTCCAGCCCGCCCAAGTCGGCACCGTTGGCGTCAAAGCCGTCGTCGGCGTCGTGGAAGAATTGCGTGTCGAACGGCATGCCTCCATCAGCGCCGCCGCCCATGTCGTCGCCGTCCGCATCGCCCCAGAGCTGCGCATCGGCGCCAAAGCCGTCGCCTGCACCCTGCGCGCCCTTGCGGCGCATGTTGATTGCCACGCGAGGCTTGAGGAACAGACGCAACAGCTGCTTGGAGCTAAAGTGACGGTCCTCCGGCAGCAGGTACGCGTCCGAAGACGACGCTGCCAGGTTGGCCATCTTGTTGCGCGCGTTGAGCGGCAGCGTGATGGCTGCCGCCTGCTTGGCCGGCTCAAAGATCTCCTTGACGTTGACGGCGCCTTCGTCAGAGAGGAAGTCGATGACAAAGGGCTCCTTGCTCTTCTTGCTTTCCTTGCGTGCGGCTGCTGCGGCTGGATCGGCTGCACCTGCGTCCGCCACACCGAGCCCGAGGGGCCCGGTGACGCGCGACAGTTTCCAGTGCTCGGGACCAGCCCAGTTGCGCATAAGACGACGGTCAAAGTAGTCAAACAGATCACTGCCGTTCTCGGCGTCTGCGCCATCCAGGGGTCGACCGGTGTCGGGGTTGAAGGCCATGGCCATGACGAGCTCCGACGAAGGTCCAGCTGAGGGGTCAAAGGGGCCGTAGCCCTGCACGTCGCCCGTGGTGCCGTCGAGCACGACAGGACCGCCGTGGTGGAAAGCGGGTGCCGAGTCGAGCGCATCGAAAAAGTCGTTGCCATCGTCGTCGTTGTCGTCCATGGGAGCGCCCATGCCGCCGTCGAAGAAGTCGACGTCTGCGCCTGCATCGTCCAGGAGCGGGTTGACGTCGTCTTGGAAGCCGCCGCCGACGAGCTCCTCGGAGTGTGCACGCGTGCTGAAGAAGGCCGGGTTGACCTGGCTGGCCGAGTGGAAGGTCTGCTGGTTGAACTCGTCCAGGCCGACGCCGAAGGGTGTGTCGTCATCCTTGGAGAAGCGAAAGTTGCACAGCGTAGGGCAGATGACGCGGCGCGACAGCATGGATTCAACGTCTTCCGATCCGTCGGCTGCCCCGAACTCGAGCCACTTTGCGCTGAGCTTGGACAGATCGACCAGCTCGACCTGGTCGTCGGCGGCTGCAGAAGGCTTGGCAGCTCCGGCTTGCTCATCGTCGTCCTCGGCGACAGCGAGCATCCTGTTCATGTCGTCGTCGCTGCCAACACCCGCGACGTCGCTGGCATCAAAGATGACGGCCATGGACGCGTCGACGCCGAGATGGTTCATGAGGAGGCCGCTGGCACCGCCCTCGTCAAAGTCGGCGGAGGTCTTCTTGAAGAGGGGATCGACGGTGAACTCGAGCTCGAACTTCTTGATCTGGATGTGACCGAACGTCTTTGCGAGCGTGGCTTCCTTGTTCCTCTTCCTCTTGCGGGACGAGGTGCCGGCGCCGTCGTCGTCGCCATCGTCGTCTGCGTCGTCATCGTCGCCATCGTCATCGCCCTTGCGACGGTCTTTGCGCGAAGCCTGTTCGAGATCGTCCTGGAGACCCGAGAGGAGCTTGCCGGTCTCCACGACGACCGAGTCGACACGCGAGGTCCACACCTTGACACAGCCGTCGAGGGTGCAGGAGGCCTTCTGGAAGTTGATGCTTCCGTCGCCGCTTTCGTTGCGGAGGAGGGACATGTCGTGGAAGTAGTCGATGAGGGCAAAGGACCAGGTGTTGGTGGAGTTGATCTTGTTGTCGGTGGCCATCTTCATCCACTCTTCGAAGCTGGAGGTGTCTACGCGGAGGGAAGCGGCGGGAGGAGCGGAGCCGTGGGGATCGGCAGCTGCGGCGGCCGCGGCGGAGGGATGGGCAGACTGGCCACGGGGACGCATGATGGAGGATGCATCGACGACGGCATGGGATCTGGCGAGCGCAGCGACGCGAGAGTTCTGGAATGCGACAGAGGTGTTTCCTGCGGCCATGAGGATGGATGCGTTAGGATTGGAGCGAGCGAGGATGGAGCGATTCGCGTTGTTGGAGCCGGAGGCCTGACGGCTTGCTGGTTGCGATGGGGCTCGCGAGATTGGTTTTGCGTTGCTGGCGGAAGGCTTGGATTTGGAGCTCTGACGGTGGTTTGCGGGCTCTTCCTCGTCGTAGCTGTCGCCGTCGTCTGCTTCGTCCTCGTCCTCGTCCTCCTCCTCGATGTCGTCGTCATCGTCGAATCGGCCGCGCATCTTGCCGGAAGCCGAGCGCGACTTTGCCGAGGTAGAGCTAGCTGCATTCTTTCTGGAATTCGACGACTTGGCTGACGCGAGCGAGGCTTTCGTGCCTGCAAACGACGTGGAGATTGAGCGGTTGGCGGCGCGCGAGTCCTCGAGCGGCGCGCGCGATGATGATGACGAGTGTCGCGACGGCATGATGGATGGACGGAGTCAAAGGCGGAGCCGGTGGCGGCAATGTGGAAAAGCGCAGACAGCGCGATGGCGGCAGGCTCAGCCGCACTCGGCGCAAGTAGGCGGTCTGAGGGCCAAGTGGTGCGAGAAAGGAAGACGCAGTGTCAAAGAAAAAGTTCGTAGGTACGGATGTTGAATGGTGGATGGTGGAGAGAGGAAGGTGCTGCAGCCTCGAGCGTGTATTGTCCGGCGGGTGGCTGCCGGTCGAGTGCGAACGGAAAAAGTCGAGGCGGAGCGAGTGTTGGTTGCGACTGTGACTGCGCAGCTTCACTGTGGAGCTGCTGCCGTCAAAAAAAAGGTGTCGCAGCGACGCGCGTGTTTGGTGCGGATAGAGGCCAGAGGCAGAGATCTCTCTCTCTGCGCGTCGCCTCCTTATGCCAACATCGACCCGTCTGGCAGCACGCTCAAATTGCGCAGCGCAGCGCAGCTCAGCTCAAAGTGTTGGACTTTTCCTGCCCCTCTGGTGTGCTGTTT